TGCAGTGTAATGAGCATCTGCTCCTCAGGAAAGGGTCCTTTATCCCTTTTACTGCCAGAGCCGTTTTTGCACAAGTTTAAAAAATTATTTTAGGCCTGAAGAGTATTTATCTCTAAATGCGTGATTTAATTGTGCATCTGGTGAGTGCGCAATTCTTCCATTACTTGGCACATCACCATATCGTTGGATATATAATATTGATCACCATCTTCTGAGATCATAATTGGATCTTCCATTTATCACTTTCTTTTGGACGTTTATCACTATTGGCACTTTATTCAGCATCAGTGGTCACTTTATAGTGACAGTATATAGTGTCATCACTGTCACTTTATGGACATATTATGATTAGAAGACCACTTTTTGCACACTGTGATACGTTTATTATTCATTATTGCATTGGCCCTTTTCTTATTTATTTGCATTTTATTTGAAGTTTGATATTCATATTTTAACACTGCACAGGTTTTTTGGTACCTTTTTGGTGTTACAGCAGCTAGCCATTTAGCGCTCACTTTCCTCCCTGTGTTTCTATAAATATTAGCAAGAACACACATCTGAGAATTCCAGTTACAATGCAAAAAAAATACAACGACCCAGTGAATCAATTTGTGAGGAGAGAACCGTAAAAGGCACCACCCCAGCCACCATTATGCTCACACCCCTAGATTACTGAGAGTTTGTAGCGTGGAGCTGGACAGGAAACTTGGATCTACGCAGATAATGGAGAGTATCTACCGTCAGATGAGTCTCTTGAAGACATACAATTAATTGAGGGAGAGTGATGACAGATGAATGTAAAACTCACAAGTCCTCTTTTTTGGATCATACAATCCTCGAACATTCCAGAAGAGGATAGCATCCTTTTGTTTACTCATTGCATACTGAAAGAGTGTAAGAGCAATCAGAAGTGATAGTGGGTAGAATCTGGTGTTCCATATCAAGAATATGCAGGCAAACATTGCATACAAATCCTCTCCGATGAGAACCCCCCCCCCCCGAAATGACTTGTAATCCTCCTGATAAAACAATGGGAGGGAGGTGACACTGACCAATCACAAAGACAATACAGCAAGTGGAAAAAAGAAAAAAAAAAAAAACAGAACTAAGGCCCATTAAAACAAAAGGGCCAAACCAAAATAAACTGAAATATGCCCAGCAGGGTTACTTGAAGGGAAAGCAAAAGGGCTAAAGCCAACTGTCAGAATGTTGTGACCATGTGTGTCAGTTCCTGCATGTGCGAGAAGATCTCATTGCCCTCGACTTCACCTTCATAACTCAGGAGACGTTGTAAAGAGCACAGGGAGACCTCCGGTCAGCATCCTGATCAAGCAGAAGATTGGTGTAGAGCAGTTCATTGGGGTCTAGCCAATTAGCCGAAGCATTTGGCGAGTCAAAAATTGTATGGATCCATGGGCCACCACTTGTAGCTTGGTGGGATAAAGCATGGAATAAGACACCTGGATTGATCGCAGGCATCTTAACATTCGCAAATCTAGCTCTCTTATGCTGAATTTCAGCACAGAAGATAGATATTTTCCCACCATGGATTTCCATGTTCAATTGTTGCCAGGCAAGTCTAAGGATAATGTCTCTGTCCTTATAGTGTAGGAGTTTCAGCAAGAAGGGTCTTTCTGGCCCCCCTGGTGGTGGAGGACAAGATAGCACCCTATGGGCTCTTTCCACAGAAAAGAAAGGAGTAAGATCATCTTTACCGAAAGTAGTTAGGATCCAATTCTCAAATTCTACAGGATTCTTACCCTCCATCTTTTTCCGGTAAGCCAACCAAACGGAGACAATTCTCCTTGTCTTCAATTCTGGCTCAGTGCTCTGAGGTCTTGATAGTTTTAGAGCGAACATCTTGTTGGAGGGGAGGAAAATCATCCTCAATGGTGATTACACTACCCTCCAGAGTGGTGGCCCATTCTCTGATTTTCTGCATGTCATGGCAGATAAACAGGATATCTTCTTTCATACTCTTAAATTCCACCATGAGCTGGGTTAGGGAAGTGCCATATGTATGCACTGCAGCTAATATTTTCTTGACAGAGGGCTCTGGAAAATCTGAGTTGTCTGCCTGGCTGGCATTAGAGAGTGAGGAATGACTTGTACTCACAGTTTCAGGAGCAGGAGAGGGCAATACCGAGGCCATCTGGCTCTTAGCTGGTAGAGAAACCCCTGCAGCGGCTGGTTTCCTCACTTCATCCTGCTGGATAGGTGGCGGAGATCTGCTGGCTGTGTGGGGGAATATGCCCAGTGTAGCTGCTACGCCTTTCTAACGGTCTTCAGAGGGCTGTTGAGGAAGTGCATTCCCGCTATGTTGAGAAGGCTGCGCTGTGGTGACTCCCTCCTCCTTTCGTTTTGTCATGGCTGCTGCACTCCGAAGTCGTCGTGGTGGTGACATGATGTAGATGTTAACAAGATCATCCGTGTCCTCGTTAGGTACAGTGAGTGGGAAGGGCTCCTTTCAGGAAAACTATCAGGATTCTGGCAGAGCTGCACAGGAACACTACCGCTCACATGGAACACCAAGCTATGTCCCCTTTCATGTTGTTTATATCAATTTCTGGCCCTACCAACTAAATGTTGCAGCTGAAATGAAGACTCATCAACCAGGCAGCCTTTTCCCAGTCTTCTACTGTCCAATTTTGGTGAGCCTGTGTGATTTGTAACCTCCGTTTCCTGTTCTTAGCTGACAGGAGTGGCACCCAGTGTGGTTGAGTTACTGTCGCCTTTCTATCATCTCAAACCAGTCTGCCCATCCTCCTCTGACATCAACAAGGCATTTTCATCCACACTACTTCCACTCACTGGATATTTTCTCTTTTTCGGACCATTCTCTGTAAACCCTAGAGATGGTTGTAGCAAGTGAGCATACAGAGATAGATGCGGTCATACATCTTGCTAAGGATCTTCCATCTTGTATCATTTCTACTCCCAAATCAGCGTCCCTCCAATTTCCCCCCTCCCTCAGGAATGTGGTCTGTATGATGCAGAGATCACAGGCAGCAAACACAGTGGGAGGGCTTCATGGTTATAAACCCCAATTAGCCTGGCCCCGTATGTCCGCGAGGCTCTTGCTTGGAAAAGGATCGTAAAGCCATAAACCAAGTCCTTCACTGAGCTTCAAAGACATTCCAGATAAGCCGTAAAACAGACATCACATTCAAAATCCACTTTCCCCTATGATTTCATATCTTGGAATATGAAAGACTTACAAGGAGACCAGGCATATATTCAGAGCGGTCACTTTAATACAAGTCGTCTGATATATTACACCCCCTAGCTGAAATCTACAGGAGAGCAGTAAATTATATTTCCTTAACCGTCCCACGCAGGTATGTCATATTTAACATGTAGACATTCAGCAGATCATTCTGCATATTAATCCACTAGTGGCTAGGCAGCTACATGCACCGAGGGTAAGTTATTGATCATGATATAAACGGTGAGGGATATATATATATATATATATATATATATATTGGCTATATCTTTTTCTGTAAATATTGTTATTGCACCCTTTTGACCTTTTTAGTAATAAATCCTATTATCTAAAAGTATTGAACTGTTTCTAAAGCTCTTAAATGCAAACTAAGAACCCCTGTCTCTGAAGAGCACTACTGTGTGTTTGTGTGTTAAACGTCTGTATACATCTGTCTGCGGTGACATTGTGTATACAAACGATTATTCAAACATCATAGTGTTATTGCTAATATTGCTGAGTTTCCTCTTTCTCTGTACAAAAAGGAGGTGGTGGCAGTGTGAAGGGTTAATTGCATAATGAACCTGACAAAGTAACAATCGCTCCCAGGCTGCAGGAACATCTATTGTGGTCCATTAGCTGGAAAATCATTGTGCAGGGTGCAGCTGGGCGTGGTATTGTTACGCACGTGACAGCGCGGTTTTAGATTGGATAGTCCTTCGGTCACGAGTTTGGTAAAAAGGGCTGGGGTCTGACGCCGTGATCGTCACAATGGTTGTGCATGTAAATTCCAGTAAATCAGCAGTTTTTTTTTAATACTCAGACCAGCCCATCTGACATCAACAACCATGTCAAGCTCAGTCACTTAAATTCCCCTTCTTCCCCATTCTGATGCTCAGTTTGAACTCCAGCAAGTCGTCTTCACCACATCTACATGACTAAGTACATTAAGTTGCTGCCATGTGATTGGCTGATTAGCAATTTGTGTTACCAAGCAATTGAACGGGTGTACCTAATAAAGTGGCCGGTGAGTGTATATACTGTGGTAGATTCTATAACTTACCTACAGACTAACCAATCTATACTCTTTGGGACTTTTATTTTTTAACCAAAGAGATGTAGCAGAATACATTATGGCCTAAATGTATGAATAAAGAAGACTTTTTTTTTTTTAAACAAATGATCAAATACCACCATTATAAAGTTCTATTTGTGTGAATAAAATTATACAAATTTAGTTTGCATACAGTGTCGCATGACCACGTAATTGCCAGTTAGAGTAGAGAGTGGAATAGCAAAAATCCCTAGTCATGAAGGGGGTAAAACCTTTTAGAAGTCAGATGGTTAATTTAGGGTAGAGTGGAGTGGGATCAGGTTTTTATTGCTGTCTGTGCCCCCATTATGGAGATTCACCCTCTCTATTGGTCCTGTTTACGGTTATGACCAAAAGTGAAAGAACAATCACAGATTTTTGGTTGTCACCAAAACAGGAACATAGTTGCAATCTTCCAATGGGGACACTAGCTGTAGTGATAATCAGGAAATTCCTCTCACTTCCTGTTGTGGCTATGGGACAGGAAGAAAAGGGAAATCTCCTCATGGGGACAGAGATGGTAAAAATAGATCATTCTGTAGAGCTGTGCATCCTCTTTCATACAAAGCTGTGGAGATCGTGTAGGTACACAATGGGGTGGGGGGGTGTCTTCAGAAGATAAGGTGGGCCCTGGAGGCTCCGTGAATGTCCCATCATCCCAGGTGTCCCTACCAGACGACACCCTGGTACCCCCCTACCTACCTCCATCCTCTCCTTCTCCTTGCTCCTAGGCCCCTGTCTCCGGGCATACCACAAGCCGATCTCCCGGCCTCTCAGGTGGGGTGGTGGTCTCTCTCTGGCACCCCCGGTACATTCTCTAGACGGGCTGCCTGCATGTTGGGATGAGACGCCCCGACCACGGCCACCTCTTCCCCGGCCAAATTCTCGGCGTTGATCGTAGCTCATAGCCGTTCAATAGCTGCCAGATCAACGTCTACCGGCAGCACACTGAAAGAAGCAGAATATGACCCGCTGCAGCTACCATAGACCACCTCGAGAGCAAACGCGAGACTAGGAACTGACGTATGAAGAAAACCGCTATTCAGTCTCGTAGGAACATAGACAAGTAGAAGCCATTTTGTTGTAGACCAAGCACATTCATTTCAATATGAGAACAAACCCTGACAACATGGCTCCATAAAACAAAGACAGGAAGCCATGCTAGGTGTTTTTGTCACGTGTTCCACGTGGTCAGTGACGTTTCAGTAGTGTCGTTGGGAAAGGAAATAGACATGATATTGGTTGGTACAGTGCAGAGCCGCACACTGACTCCAGAGCGACAGTGATAAATAAAGCGGCCAATATAAAGAGATCAAAATTATATTAAAATGTGTCGCGCTCCACTGATAATCCCAGTTATATGTGATCAAATATATCAATCATATATTGATATTCCAATTAAAAAATTGTGATAAGGAAAAGTTTCCATTAACTTTAAAATGTGCAGTGTACAATTCTGTGATTACAAAAATTGTTAAACTGATCAAATTAAATAAAATCAAATAAAATGAATAATAATCAAAATATAAACAGAAGTCCACTTCATGATAATATTGCAAAAAGTGCTCCATCTCCTCTATGCACTTACCTTAATTTTTTTACCAAACCGTTGAGGTCAAACCAGCTTGTGTCCTATATATGGACTAGTGGGTATTTTTCAGACTGTGTCGTTATCCCGGATGGATGGATGGATAGGATGATGTAGTAATCTGCTATTTCCACTGATTGAAAGCATTGAAATGCTGGATTACGATGGATGGATTTCTCCCTGTCTCCTCCAGGGGGTCTTTCCACTTTCTACAGCTCCCCTCCTTATTGCTCCATGTATTGTAACATGCAACCAAAAGAATCAAATATAGTGCCTTATCTTCTTTAAAATATTTATTTATGCTTCAGACATTAATGCACTCACATTTCCGAACATTAACAATCACTTTGTGTTAAGTTTTGATATCCTCTGTGTGATCTCCATACTGCCTATACTCGCCGTGTAATACTCCTTTAAGCATCATGACATCAGAGCCCCCCTCCCTATGCGTTACGCCACCGGGTCACGTGGATTCATCAGAAAACCTTCAAGTATTCCGAACAGTTTCAGAGTGAGTGAGTCGGCCCCAAAAGTTAGGCTCAGGACAGGATGAGTTTCCTCCCATTAACATACAATACAGAAGGCAAACTTCTAAGGGTGCGCTCACACTTGTGAATGCACCTTCTCTGTGATCAGCTGCAAAAATCCCAGTGGTGGTTCCTGTCTATAATTGTAGGCCAATAAAGAGTTAATGCAAAAATACAAATCTGGCTGTCTCACCCGACTCAAATGTGAACTGTGACAGCGCGCTTTGTTGGGTTTTATTGAAGTTGGAACGCGATAGAGAGCACTAGTCAACCATTCACACTATCACCACCTATCATCATAGATCGACACAGGCACAACATTAGGCTCCACGCACGCTGGGCGTTTTAATAACGCTGGTAACGTTAGCTGTGTAAAGGCACATTAAAAACACAACTTTTACAACTTTTTTATGGTTTTGCATTAGAGTTTAGGTGCGTTTTGCTGCATTTTTCCATGTTTTCCCATGTTTGCTTTTTTAAAGTTTTTTTTACCCCCCCCCCCCCAAAAAAAAAACCTTTTTGCTCAAAAAAATGTCCAAAAATGCTGGTTTGCTGCGTTTTACTGCATTTTGCCGAGTTTTTCAGCATTAGAGCGTTTTTAGAGCTAAAAAACTCCTCTGGAAACCCACTAGTTCTGGGGGTTTTTTCCAGTCAAAAAAACGCCCCTGCCAAAAAACTGTCAGTCTGTGTGTGCATTGACACATAGGATAACATGCTGGGGGTTTACTAGCTGTAGAAAAAAATGTCAAAAGCCAAAAGGAGCAGCTGTAAAAACGTCCAGTGTGCATGAGGACTAAAGGAACATAGCCACTAGTAGGCTCCATGCACACTAGCGCTTTTCTTTTAAGGATGAATTCACCTTAACCTGTTACATCCTAATTCAGGGTGTAACATTTAACATGTTACGATCTGACCAGCCCCCAATCCCCGCTTTGACAACTAGTGGGGAATCTTCTGCCACCCAGCCACATCACTCATTCACAAAGACTGCAAGTCCCGACAGCCTTAGCAGCTGCCAGCTTGTAGTTCTCAATGAACTCCACAGAGCCATGGTAGTTCATTGATTCTTCTTGTCAGTATATCTTCTTGCTTGATTACATATGCGTGTGCAACTTACATATACATGCCTTTGTACACGAGCACAGCCAGATGGGTGCGCATTAAAAAACCCACATTATTATTATTTTTTATTTTCACCGTCCCTTTACATTTTTATTAATCACTTTTATTGCTATCATAAGGAATGTTAATATCCATTGTCATAAGAATAGGCAGTGACAGGTCCTCTTTATTAAGACTTCTGGGGTCTAATAGACCCCAGGGGGTTTATTTACTAAAGCTGGAGAGTCCAAAATCAGACTCTCTTCTGCATAGAAACCAATCAGCTTCCAGGTTTCATTGCCAAAGCTTCACTGAACAAGCTGAGGTTAGAAGCTGATTGGTTTCTATGCAGAAGGGAGTCTGATTTTGGACTCTCCAGCTTTAGTAAATAAACCCCCAGATGTCTCTTCTGCCCTTTAGATAACAGACTGGTCTGATCCGATGCTTGTACAAGCTAGTAATAGCTGGTAAACAAAAGACAGAAACCATTTTGCCAAGGCACCCCTGAAGAAGGAACCCATGAAGAAACCTCAAGACACCCCTGAAGAAACCTCAATGCACCTGGGCACCCTGGTTGAGAAAGGCTGCCAAAGAGCTCATCAGGGACATTCTGGTCCCTGATGAACTCTATGGTAAGCCGGCATAGCTCCCAATTGTCCCTGATTTCGAAACATAGCTCCCAACTGTCCCTTTTTACTCTTCATTTGTCTCTCATTTTGTTCTGATCTAAATAGTTGTATATGAAATGCACTATTTATCTTTCAAAAAGGTTTTAATGGTGCTAAACCTTTCATCCAGTTTTTAAATTGTTGCATTTGTAATTTTCAAAAGCCAGTGTAAAGGAATAGTAGTGTTAAAAAAAAAGCACTTGTGGGTTTAACTAATATTTTTTTGTATAATCCTCTTTAAGGGGGCATGGCAGGGTGTGTGTCCTATGCCTACATACCTTTGCTAACAGGTGTCCCTTGTTCCCATCTCAAAAAGTTGGGAGGTATGAGCCGGTGGAATTGCTGTCATCAGTTTGGGGTTCTCTAACGGGATGGGGGAGCTCGGCGAGGCACTGGGGGTGGTAGAAGGGGGGTTTGTTTTTCTGTTAAAATTAACGAGCCTGGTGTGCCAAAAAATGGCTTCCACGTTTCTCTGTTCCTACCAAACTGAATAGCGGCTTTCTCTATACATTAGTTCTGAGTCTTGCACCTGCTCTAGAAGTGGTCTATGGTAGCAGCAGTAGATCATCTTCTGCCTCTTTCACTGTGTTGCCAGTAGATGTTGATCTAGCAGCTATTAAACAGCCATGAGCTATACACAATGCTAAGAATGGAGCCAGGGCAGAGGTGGCCGTGGTCGGAGCTGCTCATCCTACCATGAAGGCAGCCCATCTAGACAATGTAGCAGGGGTGCCAGAGAGACCACCACCCCACTTGTGAGGCCGAGAGATCAGCTTTTGGTATGCCCAGAGACAGAGGCCTAGGAGCAAGGTGAAGGAGAGGATGGAGGGTGTGACGGAATGTGGCGTCCGACCCCCGCCCCTTCTCACCAACTCGTGACAGAAGGACCAGCCGATCTCGCACCACAATGTCACTTGCGCAACAATGCCTCTCTCAGCTGCGCCCTGCACAAAGATTTTCTAGCTTGCGGGACTACAATCTATGTACCGGCAGCCTGAGAGCGATTGTTACTGGGTCAGGTTAATTACGCAATTAACCCTTCACACTGCCACCACCACCTTTTTATAGAGAAGGCGGAAACTCACAAATCTTAGCAGTAACGCTATGATATTAGCATAAGCGTCTGTAATAAACACTGTCACCACAGACAGATATATTCAGAGGATTATTACATACAGTAGCACTCTTCAAAAGACAGGGATTCTTTAGTTTGCATTAAAAGCTTTAGAGACAGTTTCAACATTTTGCAAAATAGGATTTATTACTAAAAAGGTTAAAATGGTGCAATTAAAAATATTTACAGAAAAAAGATGTTACAGAGATATAAAGAGAACAATAAAACAACAGAGAATTAAAAGAAAGGAATTCAGAAGGCAGAATACTTGCAATGTCTTTGGTTTGAGCAGAGTCCATTTGTCTGAACAAAAAAGGTTGCCTTGGCTCTCAAATCTCTTAGATGGTTCCTGATTGATGTTAAACGAAAGCTGCCTTTTCTCCAGCCTGTCAGTCTTTTTCTATGATATCAAAGGGGTGTCTCCTGAGAACAAATGACCAATCATCCAGTTTGGGGATCGGTGTTAGGCGGTAACCAAAGTTATGACCAAGTCGCCTTACAATTTCATACTACGGTTAATAACCTCCAATAGGTACAGGTAGCATCCTAGCAACTGGCAGATTAATATTCAGAATTATATTCCAAACTTAAAGATACCAAACATAGCGTACCCTTGTCACCCAGGATGAAAGTGACTGCTTCTTCTCTCGTGTAGGTACTAATATAGTGATATAAGGTCTTGTGTGACTCATATTAAAATGATCTATCCGAATATATACCTAATATTAATGTGCCCAGTTCCCGATGAACTTTATGAATTGTATGAAAAATGTCTTATGTGGAATGCACGTTTTATGGCATGCTGTAGCTCTAATGGCCTAACAGGTCATAATTGACTGAGTTATTGTTTTACGATCAAGCAGAGGAAAGTGGTTTTTAAAGAAGACCACTTGAACCAGACTAATTAG